CCGCCTATCTGGTCAATTGTATACTTATTGCTTTTAGCTTTAAATGTTATCTTTAATGTCTTTATTGGGTCAACTGAAAAATAAGCCCAGCCTTGTTTGCATGTCAGATGGCTTAGGCACACATCACTGAAAGATTTGTTTACCAGGAGGGACAACATTGTAGGAGAAAGAAGTACATATTGCCTTATCATGAAGAGAGAAGACAAGGAGCACAGAGGGGATAAAGAAGAGAGTGTAAGCAGGGCAATTTCATTCTGTCTTCCTTTGCTGTACGTTTTCTTTCTTGCCCAGGACAGAAATGAGCAAAAGCAGCTGATATTATTGTCAGAATAGATCATTTCCTGCTTCCACATTGAGAAGCTATTTTTAGATGCCTCCCCAGAATGGGATAGCTGCCATAGACATTTGTGGAGAAACTCAGGATATCAATGTAGCCAAAACTGAATGTCAATATGTCTATCCCACACCCTACAAGGGGGAAAAACAGAATCAAATGAGAAGAATACATTTTTTTTCCTTTTCATTCAATTCTTATTCAAGGAAAAATATTAAAACAACCAGTCCTGCTAATGATAATTCCAAAGCAAAATGCAGTTGATTGCCCCCATGTTGGCGGGGATTGTGTGGGTTGTGTGTACACGGACAAGCCTGTGACCAGAGCAGGGAGATGCCTCAGCCCTACATAGAGGTCCCACTTACTACCGCAGCCCTCGTGATGGCTGGCAAACAACAGTGCAAACGGCTAGACATGGAGCTGTTTTGGCCTTCTGGGGCTCTGTGCCCTTGAAGGCCAACCTGGGCATTCCATAGTCTGAAGAGCGAGCCAAAAAGGGGGGGGGGTGTCGTCTTCTCTCTTGTACCTCTTTCAGCAAGAAGGAAGAAGCAGCAAAGGCGAAGGACCACCCATAGCGATACTGGAAGTACTGCTCAGAGCCGCTGGGACGGTTCATCACTTCATCATTGATGCTAGAGATGTAGAGAACCAAGCCCACCACCAGCGAGAGGCCTGCGGAAGAGCACAAAGGGGTGGGGGGAGAAGGGGGGAGAAGGAAGATGGGCTGTTATCTCACTCCTGCCAACTCTGAGGAAAGCATGCACGGGCAGCCTGTCATGAAGGCCTTCTCTGGGCCCTTCATGTATAACTGCCCTTAAGCCGCCTGCCCGCCCACCCCCCCCACTTCCATTTACATCAGTGCAAAGATATTGCTTCTTTGGGGCCCAGCGCTGGGCCAGCCCTGTCCTTAGGCAGAGTGAGGCAGGCCTTCTCTGAAGATGCAGGGAAGGGAAAGGGGGTGAAAGCAAGGTGCTCAGCTAGCCTGCTGCTTGGAAGGGCTGTGAAGGCGGCTGTCCCATCATCAGTGTGGTGTACATAATATGAGCATCATTTTTATCTTTGCTTCCAGTGACCAAATGTCTGGCACACGACAGCACAAAACAAAGGAACGTACTGAGGGAACACCATTTCCACAGAGTCCCTCTTATTCTGGGAAGAGGTTTGCCCTGCCATTAAATTATGATGATCCACCATTTTGTAGCCTGTTGATTTGGTCTTGTGCTGAACTGCCAGGAGCTGAATCCGCTCCTCTCTTTACAGCCACACGCCTCCACCACCTTCTTCCTGGCTTCCATTTCTTGACCTTAATCACATGGGGCAAAGAGAAGGCGTGCGACACTAAGGTGCTGCTGGTCCTGTGGTGCAGGGCTGTGCTCTGGTGCCAAGGGCAGGCCAATGGGCCACCCTAGGACTGCTTCCCTTTCCGTGCCCAGTCTTGCACTGCATGGCTGAGAATAGCATTACTACTGGGTTGGGGAAAAGCTTTGCACTGATCATTCCCAATCCATCCCTCTATACCTTCCCAATTGAAAAAAAAGAGGCCAGTTTAGAGTTACAGCCTGTCGGGAAGCCTAATTGTTTTCCTAGCTCTGCACAAGAACTGTGGATTCCTCATAGCCTCACCCTTGGCCTTGGCCTCCACAGTCTTCTGCTCTCCCTTGGCTTGGCCCAAATTCCTGGCAAGGGAGGACTGCCTCCTGCTTCAGACCTTTCTCTCGTCCCTTGCCCACTATTCCAGCACTTATGTCAGTCGGCCCAAAGTCAGATTGTCTGCTTTGCTCCACATTTGCTCCCTAAAACCAAGGATGGCAACAGCAGCTGGACTCTCTTGAAAGAGGAAGAAGAGACTGATTTTTATCATAAATCAATTTCCTGCTTCAGTCATACTCTGGTGACTTCGCCACGCTCAGCTGGAACATGACAGAAGTGGAGGACAGATGTGGCAATATGTAGCTCCACGTTCTCTCATCTCCCTCATCCTTCTCTTTCTTCACTGCCTTTCCTCCCAGCTAGCCTGAAAGATGATTGGCTAGCTGGAGGTCAAACCCAACTTGGGTAAGCTGTGGTGAGAGATAGAGAAAGGGAGCAAAACCAGGAAAGGTACGCCTGTTTTCCCCGTCTCCTAGTCCATTCAGGGTTTCCTCAGAAGCTATCGAGGCTGCTGCTGCCACCCACTGAGTGGCCAAGATGAACATCTTAAAGCCAAAAAAGCGTGCTGCTTATATACCGGCCCATAGCACTTCAAGCACTTTCTGGTCGGTTTACCAGTTAATTATGCAGGCTACACATTGCCCTCTCCCCCAGCAAGCTGGGTACTCATTTTACCGACCTCGGAAGGATAGAGGGCTGAGTCAACCTTGAGCTGGCTACCTGAGGCTGAACCCCAGGTTGTGAGCACAGCTTTGGCTGCAGTACAGCAGCTTAACCGCTGCACCATGAGGCTCCTTAGAAGCAAGGGCCATAGTTCAATTGTTCACCCAGCTTACAGTTTCTTCAAATTGGGCACTGCTGTGTTCAGTGGACAGACTAAGACTCAGAAGACATAGGGACAAATCCTTGCTTGGCCAAGAAAACATATGAGGAGGTGGTGGTGGTGGTGGATGGAACTGTAAATCCACTCCTTAAATATCTGACATATCTTGAAAACTTTTTTAGGGTCAGATGTGACTTGGTGGCAGATAACATACCACAGGATTTCTATAGCTCATAAAGCTTGTAAAAAGAGCAGCATCATTAGAACTACTGTAAGCTGCCTGCTGGCCCCGTCAGCTCCTGTCAAGAACGGATCTGAGCGTCTTGGTCTTAAAGATGGAATCTGCTGTGCTTTGCACTGGTCTCACTGGTCTCAGGGATGACTATTCTGTACAGTTGGAGTGTGTGTGTGTTTGTTTAATGTCCCTGTGTCCATTTAAAGAAACACCAAATTTACAATTCCAGAGAGGGTGAACAAGTTGGAGACCTCCCTAATAGGACCACCAAGTTGAAAGGCAAATTCTTCAGAACCAGAGAGGTGAAGCCAATCTTCCCCTTCCATGAATGGAAGCTTTATGGAGAGAGTTCTTGGAAGCAATGCCTACCTAAGATTTAGATGCATCCAGAGTGAGTTTAAAAACCAGTCCTCCCTGCGCCGTCCACGACAATTTTTGATTCAAAATAATCATTTGAAGGCTCTGAATTTTGGTTGGCTGCATTTAATAGACATGACAAGGGTGCATTTTTAACTCTGAAAGCAGCCAGCGCTTCACAGCTGTCAGCCAAAGCCCCTGCCCTACATGGTGTGTCTGCCCCTCCCTCCAGCTCCCCACACAAACACACCTGATCTGTTCCTGTTGTACACTGAAAACCGCCTTAGGCTCCCCTTAGAGCAGTGGTCCCCAACCTTGGGCCTCCAGATGTTCTTGGACTACAACTCCCAGAAGCCTTTGCCACCACCTCTGCTGGCCAGGATTTCTGGGAGTTGAAGTCCAGGAACATCTGGAGGCCCAAGGTTGGGGACCACTGCCTTAGAGCACAACTGCCCCTACAGTCATAGGAAAACCAGACTCCCTGGGTATAAAGTGCCCTCTCTTGAATGTTGACCCTCCATGCCTCACCAGAAAGGATGAAGAAGATTCCAGAAACAAAAGCCAGGATGGTCCTCTGGGGGCGGATATGTCCAATGTTGCTAATGACAAACGCTGTGAAGACGAGGAACAGGCTGACCATCGGAAAAGGGGTGGCTGTGCGGATGGTCTCTGTTCAGAGAAAGAGAGAAAGGGGGGGGGGAGAGAGGTCATATATTTTCAGTTCAGAGTTGTGTCTAACCTCAACGGAGTTCAATCCCAGAGCCTGCTTCGAATTTCAAGAATCAGTCCTGTGACACGTGAAATCCCTATGCAGATGGGAGAGTCTCTGAGCATGGACAGAGCTTTCCCCCCATCAGCCAGCCACAGGCAATTCAGTGGTGAAGAATCTGAGCTTTTAGAAACGGACCTTCTGTATATCACACTTTAGTAAGATGAGTGCACAATTGTGTCAAGCTCTCAGGACCTCCTGTTTATTTAACTCTTAAGGTTTCTGGAAAGGTGGCAAATGAGTAGGCCACATATAAAATACCGACATTAAAATGTGTCTGAATCCCACAAATGTTTTTTATTTTTTATTATTAAAAACAACCCATATCTGTTCAGACTCAGTAAAAGACTGGTTTTAATTCTGTCAACTCAGAAAAGGTTTTGAAATATTCCTAAAGTAATTTTAGATTTGATCCTTGGGGAACAGTAGATGGAACATGGAGCAGAACTCAATAGTAGTTAATTATGGCCTGGATCAGAAGTTTGCATTGGGTTGTTGCAGAGATGCGACATCTAGCTGGAACCTAAAGAATAAATATGGCTGTAAATCCTGCCTCCTTCCTCCTTCGGATGGAAGGGACTGAGAGCATCAGCTTTCCCCAATGTAGCAGCCACTAGATGTTTTAGACTACAATGCTCATCGTCCCCAGTCAGCACAATGTAACAAATTATGGAGGGGGGCTGGAAAATCCCCTTTCAGAGGCATGTGCAAAAGTGCATCACATCTTAAATAATGTGGATGCTGCCAAAGATGATGCACACGAGAGTATCTCACACCAGTTAGAACACTGTAGGATAAAAATTGGATACACCAAAAGCTCAGCATGAGGATTACAGCAAATATAAATATTTGAGCAATAATAGCAGCAGCCTAATGAATGCACCCAGGTAAGCCTACACATCACACACAAGTCTGCCATGTAGCATAAGCATCTCTCTGAGCTTACATACTGGAGGACAGACATCTGCAGACACACATGGGAATACAGGAAGAGCCCTGCTGGATCAGACCAAAGGCATACCTAGTCCAGCCTTTTGTTTCCTCAGCAGCCAAACAGACACCTCTGAGAAGCTCACAACTGGACAGGGGAACAACAGCACTTGCCTGCTCATGTTCCTAGCAATTTTCATCCAGACACATAGTGCACCATGTAGCCATCCTAACTAGTAGCCACTGATAATCTTATCTCCTATTCCTTTGTCATAAGGGACGTGGTGGCGCTGTGGGCTAAACCGCAGAAGCCTGTGCTGCAGGGTCAGAAGACCAAGCAGTTATAAGATCGAATCCACACGACGGAGTGAGCGCCTGTCGCTTGTCCCAGCTCCCGCCAACCTAGCGGTTCGAAAGCATGCAAATGCGAGTAGATAAATAGGTACCATCTCAGTGGGAAGGTAAACAGCGTTCCGTGTCTAAATCACACTGGCCATGTGACCACGGAAGGTTGTCTTCGGACAAACGCTGGCTCTATGGCCTGAAGAGCGGGATGAGCACCGCCCCCTGGAGTCGGACACGACTGGACAAAAAAATTGTCAAGGGGAACCTTTACCTTTACCTTTATTCCTTTGTCTGATCCCCATTTAAAGTTGCCCAAGTTAGTTGGTGGCTATCCCTACGGAGCAAGTTCCATAGTGTAACTATCTTGTTGGATGATTTCCTTCCTCTGATTTGTTCTGTATTTGTGTTTAGCTTCAGTGATCAGCCCTTAATCCTAGCAGTACAGGGAAATGCACACAATTCCATGTACTGCTATTGTGTTTGCTCCTCACCCACCTTGTTTCCAAGGCAAAGAACCCTAAAAAGTGCAACCTTTCTTTGCACACATTTTACTATTATAGTTTCAAAAATATACAAATTATTTCTCTAAATACAGTCTATTTCAGTGATATCCCACTTAATTCATATCTTTGCACAGCCACCTGATAAATTACCTACATTTGTACCAGTAAGTCCTGATTCTGTATTTGAATGGGATCATTGGTGGGTCACATTCTGTCAAAATTGCCAGCTCATCTAAAATCCCAGACCTCTACTTGAAATATGCTTTCTCCAAACACTGGGTTTTCTGGAATATAAAATTCAATGCACCCAGTTTCTTAAAAGCGTTTCCTCAAATGGTTTTGTCTGTTGAGGCTTGGGAAATGGTGGCACAAAGTAAGACTTGACTGCTGTGGTTCAGTTTTCCACAGCAAAGGCTTGTATGTTTTCTTGATTCTTTTGTAAAAACTAATCGCTAATTAGGTACCTCAGTGCCCATATCTCTCAGCAATTCTGTCCATAGCTTTTTGGAAAGTGTAGCTTTTCTGACCCCTACAGGACATACTGCACCTGCTAGAAATCCCATTTGAATGAAACGTGCAAGTGTCCCCTCTGTCTTTGCATCTGGCAATACTAAGCACGTGCGCGCGCACACACCGGCTTAAAAGGTTAAAGGGTTCAGCCCTCTTTTAAAAGCTGCTCTGGACAACGTCCTTCCAGATGAGGTTTCTCTCAGGCAACCTGCCCTGCCTCTTTCAGAATAATTCCGCGCCCCTCCCCTGCAAGGATCACAGATGACAGCATCTTCAACCTGTAATCCATGTTCTTCAATTGTGTCTTCCTCCTGCCCTCACTACAGCGAGGGGGGTGGGGGAAATAAAGGAGGAAAGACAAAATAGCTGCACAACGCTTGGTAGAGTAAGGAGCCCTCCATCTGGATGAGCATGGAATGTCAACTTGCACTAAACAGAGCGCCGCTAAATGCATGCAGACTTTGTTGCTGTGTTTTCTGAATGAATTGTTCAGTGAGTTAGCTATCCAGCTGCTGACCCAGAGGTTGAGTCTTTGATTCCTCACTGGGCGTCCTGTGAGTACAGCCAGGCTGTGAGGCCTTGGGCAAGCTGCACAGTCCCAGGGTGGCCCAAGAAAAAGGGAACAGTAAACCTCTTCTGAGAACTCTATCTATAAAACCCCGGAAAGGGTCACCATAACTTAGAATTGACTTGACGGCACACAATTATTCCGAATGAACACATATTACTCCTGGACATCTGAGACTACCCATGGGCAGAACAGGCAAACGTACCATCTCTCTTTGGCTGGAATAAAGGGCTGGGATGTTATCTTGATAGCAGGTTTTTATTTTGAAATCAGCCTGCTTCATTGACAGCAAATAGATTGTGAGGATATTCAGCTGTAGTTCTGTCATCATTCCTTCCCTACTAAAGGGTGGATTTAACACATAACATAACATATCAGCTATTTTGACTTGGCAGATAGCAGCTCTAAACACAACACAGCAGTTAGCCAATATGTGTTTCTCCTTCCTGTACTTTCCTGCCATTTACAGTATTTTACTCTGAAAGAGCAGGTATAATGCTATGCAATTTTTGTTTCTTTGTTACATATTCTAACTTTCTGCATTTCATGATTTCTTGACCTTGACTCATTCACCTTAGTACTTCTTCCTTAGGCACTTGTTCAGTCCAAAACATTCTCCAACAGCAAAGGTAGATGATACCTTTACTCAACCACTAAAAAGTCAGAAACAAAAACAAGCTTTCGGCCCCGTACAGATCTTCACCAGGCTGAGGACCACAGAGCTATGGGTGGTGCAGAAAGAACAAAACCTCCAAAAATCATGACTAGACATCCATGCTTGGCTCTTTTGTTACAAGTGAGTTTCAAAATGGGGGTTGAAAGCAAGCTTCTGTTTGTGAATTTTTACTGGCCTAATAAAGGTATCATACACCTTTGCTTTGGGATTGTGTGCAAGGACCACGTGGCTTTTGGTCTTTCCTTTTATTTTGACTACTAAAAGTTCCCAGCATTCTGCAATAAATCCAAGTTTAAAATGCTTGCATCTTTTTTTATAATAGTCTCTGTTGAAATCTGTGTATCCATGCCATACACTAGAACTAAAAATACACAGTACTGTGCAGAATGTACTCTCAAAGCCAGTGTTAAGATTTGTTGCATTTTATATTCTTCATCATTAAAAAGTTGCTTGAGGCCATTTCTGTTCTGACTTTTATTGCACAGCACTGCTAATTCAACCAAATTCCATGGTATTAATATTTGTGATATGCTCCACAGTATTTTATTTTATTGAACTTCTACCCCACCCACCTGGACCAAAGGTCTACTCTGGGTGGCATTAAAAACAGTAAAATAAATAAATAAATATACAGTATACTATAAATTCAAAATGGCAAAATGTGAATTTAAGATACGGCAGGAAGGAAAGCCTGCCTGAATAGCCAGGTCTTGACTTTTCTTCTGAATACACCCAGAGAGGGAGCCAGGCGGATCTCCACGGGCAGGTTGTTCCAGAGGCGAGGGGCCACTGCCGAGAGGGCCCGGTTCCTTGTTCTTTCCTTCTGGACCTCCCTCGGTGTTAGGCCCCTCAGCCGCCTGGCCTGGCTGGAACAAGTGGCTCTGGCAGAACTGGGTGGAGGAGGTGCTCTGCCAGATATCGAGGTTCTAAACTGTTTAGGGCTTTATATATCATTATTAAGACTTTGAAATCAATGCGGAAGCCAAAGCAAGGCAGCCAGCGTGGGGGAAATATGTTGGTACCTTTTCACCCCTGTAAGAAGTCTGGCCACCA